ATGAATTGTAATTACTGCTTATTTTATATCATACCTCACACGAAAGCTCATTAAATCTACAAATATCACGTGTGGTCTCAAGTCAAATTAACTACACGATTTATGTATAACAAGTATTTTAATATCGTTAATGGATTCCTTTTTTCCATGACTGCATCTGTGTAATGAGAAATTTATATTAGACATTCGACTTTGTATGTAAGTCACAAATCGACACGCAATTTCCTAATTTTGTGTTTAAACATTCTGTTGAATTTATTTATATATACAGGTCTACAAGCTTTTAATACAATGATAACAAGTTAGATTTTTTTGTTTGGCAACAGTTTAAAATAAGAATTTGTAGATAAGAATAAAAAAAGAAAGCGACGTATAAGTTGCATTCGTGCACCATGCAACTTCGCACAACAAATAATTTTCGTTCTGTAACAGAAAGTGCTATGAGTATGTGAGAATGTTGTAAGTGTTACCATAGCTTAGTGGTGAATTTGAATTTCAAAACTGAACAATTTTTGATAAAAATTCTCATATGGCTATTTCCCTCATTGATTCCATTGTAAAAATCGAAGTAAAAGCTAGTTTCTATGTAAGGCTTAACTTATTAGTTTTTACTTATTTTTGATTCGAATTTTGATACGAGAAAAACTAAAATATTCTCTTTTATAAAATAATCAATATTCAATACACGAAGACCAGAGATTGATTATTTTAGAGGTGGGGATCAAAAAAAGATGTAATTTGTAACTACTCACGAGTAATTCCTGGGGCAAGGCATTGTTAAAATATATGTGTTATTAGTCCGATTTTTTCACTGGAAAGTATGGAAGATTAATGTTGACCAAAAAAAAATGTAAGCAATCCAACATGCCGAAACAGTAATTGCATGACTTTAAATCCTCAACAAATACCGAATATCGGGCGAACATACAGAGTGAGATGAAAAAACTGCAATAAACTTCAGACTATCATTTCCAGGCCATTAGTCCAAAAACTGTTAAAATTATTCCAGTGACAGCTAATTATATTGTTTACAAGCGTACAAAAATATTTTGGTGAGAGTATTCCAGAAAAAAAGTTATTCGCGATGGAATTCAAGCGTGATAGTGTGATTTATTTATATTTGGCTGTAAAACCACAAGTGGCTATCGTTACAGCACTCCAGCATTTAAATGTGAATAAATCTTTTGTATCTCGTACCATCGCTCGTTACCGTGATAATGGTAGCGTAGCACGACGTCAAGGAAGTGGACGGAAGAAAACAGCAACATCAGCAGAAATGGTTCGAAAAGTAAAGAAGCGACTTGATCGAAACCCGCGTCGCAATGGCCGAAATATGGGTCGTGAGCTGAACATATCGCAATATTCCATTCGGCAAATATTAAAAAATCAGTTCGGGGTAAAGCCATTGAAATTCCAAAATGTCAAAGAACTTACACCGCAACAGAAAGCAAATAGACTCAAAAAAGCTAAGAAATTACTTCGCTTGGCCGAAAGTGGTGAACTGGCGAATTTAGTTTTCTCCGATGAGAACACATTCGTTGTCCAACAGTTTGTAATCAAACAAAATGACCGTGTTTACTTGCCAAAGGGGTCAGCTGAAAATGTGCATCTTCGGTTGGCCACTAGATCTCAAGCGCCGGCCATGGTGATGATGTGGGCCGCCATAAGAGCCGTGGCATCTGAATAAATACTGAATATTCTCCCGAAAATATTCTGGACGGTGTGTTAAAGCCATGGACACGCAAACAGTTTCGTCAATAAATTAGCATCGGATCCTTTGATCGGATCAGATCTTGGACATTCCAGCAGGACTCAGCACCATCGCTCTCAGCACGTGCCACCCAAGAATGGTTACTCGCTTCATATCCAGCGCACAATGGCTACCAAAATATCCGGATACCAATCCGTTGGACTATCGTGTCTGGAGTCTTTTGGAAAGCACGGTTGGCACCAAAGTACCAATACCAAAGTGTCGATCACCTCAAGAAAGCGCTTCGCCGCGAATGGGCCAAAATACCGCAAGGCAACATTCGGGCAGCGTGTGACGGTTTTATTTGACGTTTGGGGGCCTAAATTCGTGCCAAAGGTGTTCAATTCGAACAAATCTAATTTCCGATATTTTTCATTCAATAAAATTTAAAAAAAAAATATATATATATATATATAAAAATTATGGCGTTTGACTTTGTTGTCAGAAAGGTACCACAAGGAGTGGGCCGACATTTCTGATCTTCACACCAGATTATATATTAGTAGAAATATTTTAATGCGTAAAAGGATCCGATGCTAATTTATTTCCTTTTTATGACCTCTAGATTTTTCTAAAAGTTGATCCATTGTGTGGAGAGCTACTAGAAGGAGTGGACTGATTTATCCTACCTTCATACCAGATCTTGTGTTGGTTGAAATATTTTGATGTGTGAAGTTTGAAAAGAACTGGTTATTAAAAATGTGTCCCTTTGTGGGGGAGATATTGGGAGTCGTCCGATATTATCCATTCTGGTAACGGACCTCATCTCTGAACTCGATTTAATTTTGATTTTAATATTAAGATGTAACAAGTTTGACAAGTATCGAAAGTTTTCGTGAATTTTAGTTTTATGTAATTCTTTTGTTCCTCTTCTATTGAGCTTACGATCTCGTCACTTGGGTAAAAAAATGTTTTTTGTCATAGAAGTTATTTTTTAAATAACTTCTGGGGAGAATATATATATATATATATATATATATATATATATATATATATATATATATATATATATATATATATATATATATATCGTCTGTAGCCAAATGGCTAAAGGCATAATTAAGAGACGACGAAATATTTTAACGCAGATCTAAGTCTCGGCGTAGTTATAAGACTGCTCACGAGAATTTACTATGATGAGATCAGCTTAAGACTTATGCCAATTTTTCACCAAAAAGGCGACCAATTTATATTTTTTTCTTCGATTCTTCTACAATTTCCGTAAACAGGGTAATAGGAATCAGTATGTACGTACAAAGTCAACAAATTTATTCGACGCATCTAGAGGTCCTGTAATGCTACCTACCAGTCAAATTGTAGTTCGTGTTTAAAAATGTAAATGTATAACTAATACGATTCTCACTTGATGGACACGCCACTTAGTTAGGCATGTTAGGAACAAGTCCTTTACATTGTATTCGTAATAATACAAAAATAAGGCTATACGCAAGGAACATTTAAGCCAACGTCATGCATTGGTATATGTATTAAACACCAATTGCACATACACATATTTCACATAAATTATTTAGTTTTGATAATAACAAGTCCGTTGTGCATTTCCTACCAAAGCCGACTAGTCGTCCACTTGCCTCTACTGCTACTGATGATGTCGAGGGAGTGAGGTGGGCAATGCAAATCTAACCAACTATTAAATCACGTCATTCATTCGTTAGCCAAGTTAAAACATAAAGTTTTTAACTTTCATCGCGATTCGTAATTTGCATGCATTTGACGTTGGCTGTTACACATTTTTAGTGCCGTTCGCCGTTGTCTTGGTTCGTTAATTATTCATTCACTTTTCTAATTGTAATGCCGTGTTTCCAGTCGCTGTTCACATTTGTGGCCGCATTGCATTTGGGGCTTGAGATTTCCAGTCGTTCATTGCATTTGGCATTTTGTACAATGAATTAGCATTGGAGTATTTCAGTCGGTACACTTTTGCATGACCTCGTTATGAGCGAAAATGTTGATATGCAGAAAACTTAATTAGCCTCAATTCATTGTGGGGGGGTCTATGACTCATTAGATCAGTCAAGCAGTTTGTTTGTGTTGATGTCTTAATATGTTGTTGTGTTAATTATGGAAGTTTGGAATAGTTTTGATTCTCTGGCTATGTCCCCAGGTCGAGGAATTTATGATCGACGCCTTTTTTGTAACAAGGACAAATCAAGGGCGGTAGTAGCGAGGTTTGTGTCTGAGAGTCAACATTTTCCCATTCACTTTTTTATAACCTGAGCCATATGGATAGAGAGGGTATATATAATTTGATATGGCCAAAACGTGCCTCATCGAAATAAAGACTTTAGACCCTACGTCTCTTTAGACCAAATTAGTTTCAGGACATTTGAAGTCGAGTAGGGAAGTCCGTCCGTCTGTTTGGCTGCCTTTTGCGCAAGTATTGATTCATACTTGGTACATCGATTTGATTCATACTTGGTACATCGAAATATTGTCAGAGATGGGCAACATCGGTCCACTCTTCTGGTATCTCTCCCACAAAAGGTCAAAGGAAGTAATCTACCTCATAGAAAGAGGAAGGACCATTCTATTTTGTGCAAAATCTGGCCCAATCAAGTCCCAATATTTTTGTCAGTTCTAGGTCAGCTGTCAAAATTTACAATATCTGCCTACTCCAGCAAGTACCTCCCATCTGGTCAAAATTCGGAATAATTATAGCTCTTATAAATGTGAAAAAAAATTGTCCGATTGTCTTCAAACACAAGATCTGGTGTGAAGACAGAATATATCGGACCACTTCAGTAATTATCTCCCCCACAAAGGGTCGACATTTGGAAGAATTTTAACTCTTATAAAATGTGAAATAATAGTCTTGAAATTTTGCCAATGTTTCTAACAACAAAAAAAAAAAAACAGGTGTGAAGATGGGATATACTGGATCACTCCTGCTGGTACCTCCCCCACAATAGGTCAAAATTTGGTATAATAATGTGTCACATAAAAAGCGAAATAAGCATCCGATTCTCTTCCTATTTTACTCATCCCAACATTTTTACTAACGCAAGTTCCGATGTGAAAATGATAGACATCGGCCTATTACTTCTGGTACCTCTCCAATAAAGATTCAAGGTTATTATGGGAGTATATTGCAATACTTTGCAATATACCTCCCATAATGTGCATAACATCAGATTTTTCCCAAAAAATGGAAAAATTTATGATTTTCTTCAAATTTTACACATCGTTATTAGATGAAGTTACATAAATGCTTTTTAAAATATATCTGCTTTCCTTAAAACATTGCCACATAAAACTGATCTTCTTTTCAAAACTGTTTCTTTTTTCACCTCAAAACTGGACTTCTTTTCAATTTTATCCAATTCGCAAAAGTTAAATTCGTAACAAAAAACAATTTCGCCGCTCCTCAATCATTAATCACGATGCATTTATGAACAATGATGACATATTCCCATTACGGCCATAAACAAATCACCATCAATCTGTCATCATTGTAATTGTCAAAATACAGTTTTGTTTTATTATTGTTTTCATCTTTTTATTGTTGTCTTGGAAAGCATTCAGATGACGGAAGGACGGGCTTAATCATTGCCTGATTTCATTTGGTTTCATTGTGTGCCAGTTTTTCTCGATTGTTTTTATGCACTTCTTGAAGATCTGAAAGACAAACGACTCGGTTCATTGTCTTGTCGCACAAGTCTTTTGTAAATCCTTTTACGATGATGATTTATGACTGGCAGAATATCATTTCAAACCAGGAAAGGCGGCAATGGAGAAAAACTGTTAGTCTCAAATGTCAATTGGATGATTGGTGTCGGTGTGTATGTGCCCTACAATGAGCATTCGAGAATTGAGTTAAATTTGGCAAAGAGTATGCAATTGTAGGACACTTAAGTTCCTGAGGATAGGGAAGTCCATACTCGATACTTTAATTTTTGATACTTTAAGTTTTAACCTAGATTTTCCATGACTCTCGATAGGAGTATCCCGTTTGGTCCAAACTTGGCACATCGTTATTTTTGGGAAAACTTACATATTTTTTGGAAATGGAAATCAGTCCACTACTTCTTGTACCTCCATCAAAAAATATTTTTTTTTTAAACCAACCTTGACTGGGCAAATTGAAATATTTAATATTATAATATTTAATAAGATTTAGGTGAGGTGCGGAATCAGATAGAAGATTATATATTTTAATAAAATTTTCAATAACTGATTGATCTGAAAATTTTAAATATTGGTGTTGGGGTCTCCGCTGGTGGGTAGGGTTAAAATAATGAGTTGGGTCTGTAAATACGAAAACTACTAAACAGTATTAACTTTGGATATTTGAGGAAGGAATAGATGTGGAAATCTGGAGTTTGGAGTAATGGTTTTTGGTGTTGTGTAGGATGGGCAAACTAAATGTATTAAAATCCACTAAATTCCGTACCATTTGGAATTATGTGAACGGATAGCGGTAAAATCTTGAAATTTGGTATGGCAATCAATTCTTAGCAATGGGATGTGGTTTTTAGAAATGTGTGCTCAATGTAAGTAAGAACTGTAGTAAATGGTACCTTACAATACCGGTTCGGTTGAACGGATGAAGCTGGTAATTGGAAATATTGATATTGTGGCCACTGCTGTTGGGTAGGGTTAAGATAGCAAGTTGGGTTTGGAAATGCGTTCAGCAAGCGTTTTAAATGGTACTGATATTGCTTGAAATCTGCAATTTAGCATTGGGGTCACTGTTAGTGTATGGGATTTAGAAATAAAGTTGGTTTTGGAAATGTGTACTACAAGTATACGAAAAGTACCTAATAGTACTATAGTTGGTACAATTTGGTATTGGGTGAACAGGTAGTGCTTAAAATGTGAACTTTGGTATTAGGGTTGCTGTTCATGTGTAGCCTGGACATATGGAAAACGTGTACTATCATTCTACGAAAAGTACTGAATTGTACGAAAAATACTAAATGGTACTTAATTTGGGAGAAGGAATAGGCCTGGAATCCTCAAAATTAATATTAAGGCCTCTGTTGACAATTAGAATTGAGATATGGAGGTGATTTTGGAAATGTGTACTATATTTGTACGATACGTACTAAATGGTACTAAATTTGATATTGGGTGCAGGAATAGAGCTGAAATTTGATATTAAGGTCACTTACAATAGTTTTTGACAAAGTACTAAATTGGGTATTGGGTGAAGGGTTAGAGTTGTAATTCTCAAATTTTATACTGAGGTCTCTTTTGGTATCTGAGATTTAAATATGGAATACGCTTTGGAAATGTGTACTATAATTGTACGAAAAATACCAAGTGGTACAAACTTGGGTATTGGTTGAAGGGATAGAGCTGTAATCCCGAAATAAACTATAATTTTAAGAAAAGTAGTAATTAGTAGTAAATTTGGTATTGGGTTAAGGAGCAGAGCTGAAACCCTGGAATTTGATATTAAGCTCACTGTTGGTATCTGAGGTTGAGATATGGAGATTAATTTTTTTTAGAAATGTTGACATTTAATATTGTGGTTAATTTGGGGGGGGGGGGGGGGGTCACACATGTAGACGTTTAAATAGTTTGTGGACTGACAAAATGAATGAGGGTACATTGTTCAATGGTTTTACCAATATCCTCCTCGGTAAACTTCAAAATGAGAGATTTTGAAGACTTTTAGGTTTAATAGGTAGACATTTCATTATTTTTCTTTCTGAAAAAGGAAAGTCTTGAATAATATGAAAAACCTTGAAGGTCTGAAAATTTAGTACGATGTATGAAGTTTTGATTAAAAAAAATTAACACAAATGTACATTTTTAAGGTGAACTTCTCGCTGACGAAGTAGCGGCCTTTTGTTAGTATAAAGGATTATAAAAAGTAAAGGAAAGTAGGAGCGATTCCGACTTTTTAAAAAAGGTAGTTAAAATGACTACTGTACCTTTGAAGACAATCATGTCGGCCCAATATGAATATCATTGGGTGTTCGGTACGAACTTATTGACTTTGATAACTTTAAATTAGTACTTATTTATCGACTTTTTGTCGCAAAATTAGTACTTATTTTGTATGACTTATAAAACTTAGTAATATGACTTGAAACTGTTGAAATTTTGGATTTTTAAGAGTATGAGTTAAGAATAATTCAGAAAGTATTTAAGCCAAAGTCGCTTAAAAAATGGACCGCTGTTTATACCCTCAACCATAAGTTAAAGAGAACCTTTTAAAAACAAGGTTTTTATTCTATATTTTAACGAATTAAATTTTCAACTGTCGATGAAAATTGTTGGAGAATTCAGTTAAAGTCTTCAAAATGTCATAAAGTGGGCGTTACAGTATGGAACGTGAACGCCAATTACAATTTTTGATCGCTTTTCTTATTATCAGATTCCGTTTGTAACTCCTCGAAATACTCATGTCAGACTCTACAAAGTATATATATTATTGATCAGCGTAAAATTCTAAGTCGATTTAGCGATGTCCGTCTGTCTGTCTGTTGTAATCGTGCTATTTTTCGAATGAATTGAGATAGAAGGCTAAAATTTTGCACAAATGTTTATTTTTCCAGAAGTCAGGTTAAGTTCGTACATGGGCCATGTAGGTCCACGTTTTCATATAACCCCCATATAACGGTACCTCCCGATATTCGGTTTTTTGATGATTTTAGCGACATTATTCACCGGAATTGTTTCAAATTTGGTATTTGAAGTTCGAAATTGATACTACATCCTAAGACAGAAAATTGTCTGTGCAGGCCCACGTTTTCATATAGCTCCAATTCAACGGTACCTCCCGACATTCCCTATTTTGATGATTTTACCGTCATTATTCACCAGAATTGTTTCAAGTTAAGTATTTAGAGTTCGTTATGGGAAATTTAGTCTGTGACAGAAAATTGTCTATGCAGGTTCAGGTCTTTGTATAGGCCCCATATATCAGTACCTCCCTATATTCGGTATTTTGACGATTTTAGGTACAATACCCACCGAAATTGTTTGAGATGTGGTATTTGAAGTTCGTAATGGATGCTACAGCCTGTGACAGAAAATTGTCAATGCTGGTCCAGGTCTTTGCACAGCTCCGATATAACACTACCTCCCTACATACGATATTTTTATGATTTCAGCTACATTATTCACCGTTTATTTCAAGTTTCGAATTTGAATATAATAATTTAATTTAATTTTAAAATTTTAATAGAATTTTTAAATTCGTTCCAAATGGTGGAACTTGTTGACTTGTTTTTCATTAAATTGATAAATCTTGACGCTACAAATATATAATTAATACAATAAGTAATAAATAATGGATCTATAAAAATGTTCAAACAATTTCGTCGAGGGAGAAAATTCTATGGGGCTATACAGAAACGTGGATCGATATACCTCATTTCTAATCCCACAAAAATTTTAGACATAACATCCTTATGATCACAATTTCGATCCCTACGAATGTTAGAGGATATGTTAATGTTGTTGCAAAATGGTCAGGCTTATCCCTTTATTGTTGTTTTTGTAAAAACAACGTTTGTTTATTAGTGGAGAACGATGGTAATGTTTACCAGGGGGTAAGGCAGGGAATACCTAGGTTTCGGAAAGAGCCACCAATCCTCATCAGTTCCCTTGTTTTTGTCTGGGATATTCTCCCCAGAAGTTATTTTAAAAATAACTTCTATGACAAAAAACATTTTTTACCCAAGTGACGAGATCGTAAGCTCAATAGAAGAGGAACCAAAGAATTATATAAAACTAAAATTCTTTTGGAAAGTCTTCTAAATCTTACAACCGCACTTATAAACATTTTCATCTTTCTCCACTTGTTATGCTTTCGTTCAACCTGAACGAAGTAGCATAACCATGTAAGTTGGTTTTGTCTGTTACAACAAAAACCCCTTCGTCGACCGTGCCTTGTCTATAAATAGAACAGTGTGGCTTGTTTGTTCGGGATACCGTAGTATTTTGTTGTTGCAAAATGGTCAGGCTTATCCCTTTATTGTTGTTTTTGTAAAAACAACGTTTGTTTATTAGTGGAGAACGATGGTAATGTTTACCAGGGGGTAAGGCAGGGAATACCTAGGTTTCGGAAAGAGCCACCAATCCTCATCAGTTCCCTTGTTTTTGTCTGGGATATTCTCCCCAGAAGTTATTTTAAAAATAACTTCTATGACAAAAAACATTTTTTACCCAAGTGACGAGATCGTAAGCTCAATAGAAGAGGAACCAAAGAATTATATAAAACTAAAATTCTTTTGGAAAGTCTTCTAAATCTTACAACCGCACTTATAAACATTTTCATCTTTCTCCACTTGTTATGCTTTCGTTCAACCTGAACGAAGTAGCATAACCATGTAAGTTGGTTTTGTCTGTTACAACAAAAACCCCTTCGTCGACCGTGCCTTGTCTATAAATAGAACAGTGTGGCTTGTTTGTTCGGGATACCGTAGTATTTTGTTGTTGCAAAATGGTCAGGCTTATCCCTTTATTGTTGTTTTTGTAAAAACAACGTTTGTTTATTAGTGGAGAACGATGGTAATGTTTACCAGGGGGTAAGGCAGGGAATACCTAGGTTTCGGAAAGAGCCACCAATCCTCATCAGTTCCCTTGTTTTTGTCTGGGATATTCTCCCCAGAAGTTATTTTAAAAATAACTTCTATGACAAAAAACATTTTTTTACCCAAGTGACGAGATCGTAAGCTACTTCGTTCAGGTTGAACGAAAGCATAACAAGTGGAGAAAGATGAAAATGTTTATAAGTGCGGTTGTAAGATTTAGAAGACTTTCCAAAAGAATTTTAGTTTTATATAATTCTTTGGTTCCTCTTCTATTGAGCTTACGATCTCGTCACTTGGGTAAAAAATGTTTTTTGTCATAGAAGTTATTTTTAAAATAACTTCTGGGGAGAATATCCCAGACAAAAACAAGGGAACTGATGAGGATTGGTGGCTCTTTCCGAAACCTAGGTATTCCCTGCCTTACCCCCTGGTAAACATTACCATCGTTCTCCACTAATAAACAAACGTTGTTTTTACAAAAACAACAATAAAGGGATAAGCCTGACCATTTTGCAACAACAAAATACTACGGTATCCCGAACAAACAAGCCACACTGTTCCAGGATATGTTAATTTTACTCTGATCAGGAATATATATTATATATTTTTTAGTATTTTAAACCATACCATTTAATCTTTGGTCGAATAATAAATAGTCAAATACTCTGTCGTCTAATACTTACAAATACTTTCTAGATTACTTTTAACAGCATTCCCGCAAATGGCAAATAATGGCATAATATGGCGGCACAAAGACAAAGAAGTCTAATATTACAATGTGATTATGGAAATGTAGACACAAATCTCGTCGTCATTCATTCGGCGCAATACAAAACTGCAAAGAGAAGAAGAAAAAAAAAAGAAGGAGTTCGTTTAGTACAAAATGAAAGTATCTGCAGACAATTCGTTAAGTCAACTGACAACATTGAACGTACGAAAAAACAACATGGTGAGGGGAATTTGGCTTATTTGTACCAAACATGTACGAGTATGTACGTATGAAGTCATCAACAACTTTTGTAGACCTCTTCATTTGGCTGGTTAGGTTTGTGCCTCCTTTAACTGTGGCTAATGAAGTTGAGTGTGATTGGCTAAAATCCAGAGTTTGAATTTAAACCTTAACTTGATTGTACTGGATACCGGTGAAAGATCAAAAAGACCAAACCAGCTTTAATACTGTCCAAATGGCCATAGTAGGTAAAGATGTGTTGGCTTCAACTGGTCATCGTTAGCGGAATTGGTGAGGCGGCGTTGTCTTGGTCTCCACTGCCGTTTTTCTTAACTTACAGCGCCATATTTTTCTTCGGTGAGGTCTTTCAAAAAGAAAAAAAAGCGTATCCACATTCACACCCTTCACTCCGTGGACAAGAGGAATATGATTGTATCAGCGGAGCTGTTGGGCAACTACCATAAAAATGCATCCACAGCTAAGCGTTAATAACAACGGCACGCCAAAAAGATCTCATGCAAGTTCAACCAAAAAATCGTCATAATCACTTGTGTGGAAATTCGACATTTTGGAGTTTTTCAGCCATTTTTGTTTGTATATCTGATTGTTGACTGAATTTTATCAAAAGAAACCTTTAATTTTTGTGAACTGTTAATTGTCAATCAATTATTTTGGTTTTTAACACATTTCAATTGGCAACAATTTCAAGAAAACAACATGGCCTACGCGACACTTCTGGCTATTGGGCTTAAATTGATAGTTTTGAATTTATGTGAAAAGTAATTTCAATTAATTTTTTTTCCAATGGCCATGTGTTTGACACAAAACTACTTCGATGGCGTACGTGACAACATTTCAATATTTCTTTGTGACAAAGTGTTAATTAAAGGTTTCCACACGACATCATAATTATCCATATAATGTCATGTGGTTTAAGTGTCTCATTCAGTATGTATGTTAATCCAACAGATGCTTGCTGCAGCAGAACAGTGTATCGAAATTTATGAATGGACATTTTGAATTATATAGGCATACGATTATAATTCACTGAGATATAGTTGTTTTTATATTATTTTTTTATAACTAAGAAACCAATAAATTACGTCAGATTATTCGAAGGTAAGTAGCTAATATACTTGGCGATTGACATATATATTTCAACAATACAGTAAAGCCTCATAAAACTATACCTAGCAACATTTTCACCCAAACGAGTCACGGTTCGCAGATTTTGATCCATGGGCATAATTGCAATTCTTACCCTACACCACAGGGTGGTTGTTTGTAACAGGCAAAAGGAAACGAGATAGACCCATAGTTCCTTTTGATGATCTGCATCGAATCACTCTCTGAGTCGATTTATGCATGCCCGTACGTCGTATTTTTGTAAACAAAGTACAGATCGCATTCATTGCCCGATCCAGATGAAATTTTGCACAAATCATTTGTTTGGTCCAAGGACGAACCCTATTGAAATTGTAGATAATATGTAAAAATGTAGGTGTAGCTCCCATATATATCTTTGTCCGATTTGCCTTTTATTGTGCACCAAACGTGTAATATCAGCCCGAATAGTATGAAATTTTGCACATACAACCAAATTAGGCCTGAAACTAAGTATGCCAAATTTGATCGAAATCGGTTCAGATATAGCTATAGCTCCCATATATATTGTTCATCGGATTTGTTATTTTTGTCCTCCGCAGCCGTAATATGCACTCTGTAACAACAATATTTGGGAAAATATATCAAATACAGCGCAGAAATACCTTTGCTAAATTTTATCGAGATCGGTTCAGATTTGGATATAGTTCCCATATATATCTTTATCCAATTTCAAATTAATTTAAAAGATACGAACGACATGTGATCGGAAGCTAACATTTTTTGGAAAGTTGTCTTTTGTCTGCAGTCAGGTCGTGTTCTAAGATGAGCTACATCGGTCAACGTTTTAATATAGCCCCCATATAATTATACTTCCCCATATTCGGTGTTTTGACGATTTTAGACTACAGAAATAGTTTAAAATTCGGTATTTAGAATTTATATTGGGGTCTACCATCTATGGCAGAACATTGTCTTTATAGATTCGGAATTTTCACTCTCGGAGTTAAACGGAGTTTGACTTTCTAAAATAATAGTTTAAAATTCGGTATTTAGATTTCATATTGGATTCCATATCCTGTACCAAAAACTGTCTATATACGTCCACGTTTTTCTATAGCCCCCATATAAAGGTAGTTCACTATATTCGGTATTTTTACGATTGAAGCCATATTTTCTAACGGAATTTATAAAATTCTATACTACACTCCCAATATTCGATATTTTGATTATTGTAGTCAACATTTTTACAGAATTGTTTGAAATTTGGATTGGATGTTCCTAATAACAGAAGTGACGTATACCTTTCAAATACTGTAATTTCAGCATTTACAGACATATTTATACATAAGTCACTTTCAAAAAGGTGGAGGGTGTAAACAGTTCGGCTGTATTATCTAGTATTACTACAATATGTGGCAGGACATGTTTACAACCCACAATGGATTGCAGGGCAATACCGCTGGCCGAACATGGATACCAATTTAAAGAGTAGTAGTAGTATAAGAAGGATAGGATATTGGTACCGTTTTCTTCTTATATGATTACTTCTATATAAACCTTTGAAAAGGATGATTCAATTGGCTATTGTTTCTTCCTGGAAAATTCTACCAATCCAATAGGGGTATCTATGAATAACTCATTTTGGTAATATAAAACGGATGGCAATAAGAGTTATATGACCACTTCCGGAGAAATCCTTTGATTGGCTCCCTCAATGATTGCTAGTCGGAAGTCGTCTTTGAATTCCATTGGAGCCGTGTTTGGATAGCCTTGACTTTTACAGTACTTGTATTTTATTTGCCACATTGTCCTAGAGAAGCTGCATATGACCTTCTAGGAAGAGGCCTGCGTCTCCTCCGTCGATTGAACTCTCTTTACAAATAGAGCCGAGAGCTCGAAGATGATGGTTTTTCAAGCAGCTTTTTTGTTTTGCTAGCCATGCAGCGTGGAGAATTGTTCAGCTACAGGTTGTTTACCCTTAGGCTTCGAATTTGGTGCTGACCCTATAGACGTACACGCAGCTAGCTTACCCTGATGAGTCCACCAAGAGTTCGCGTTTGGGTAAATTCTTTCGAACCTCACCATGGACCTTAGCTCAGTCTTGAAATATAAGTTTAACTTCTCGTTATGCAAATTCGGATTCCCATCCAAGAATTTGCGGAAATACAAAATTGCCATCTTTCTAAAATTTTGCATCTTTAGCTTCCTTCGCGTTCGTGCCATTGGTTGCGTTGGATGATGATTCATCTTTCGAGTTTTAATAATCGTCGATATTAACAGCACTCTGACACGGAATTTTTGATTTATCGGCCACTGTCGATGTAGGACCCGTTGAATCAGAGATCTTTACAAGTTGATTGTCCAAATATTCCTCCTCAACTACCAACTGACTCATGTCATCCGTCTGGAATAATGGCCTCATTCAGGTCGTCGTCGGTGGGGCTGACATTGTTCATTAAGTCGCCGGGGAGGTCCGTTAGGCTTTAACCGATTTGTATGACCGCGTTTACTTCGGTTCTTATTTGGAAAGCGTTAGCCGTTAGAGTTTACTGATCGTCGAGTATTACTTGCACTTATAGCTGGAGCGACAAGTGCCAAGACAGTCCAACCTAAGGCCGTGTGTACGCAATCGCTGAATATCAACGGCACAGGGTTTGCGAAACCACAACACTTTTCGCCGGCACTGGGTTATTTCGGCCCTGCGCCGAACGATACGGGCGCCAGTAATTTGCTTCTTGTTCTTCTTTGGTACTCGATTATTTTTATGAGAACCTTCCACCAGACCCACAGACTTCCGGACTGTTTTTTTGATTCGCAGGTACCCAATATATATCATGGGAATTCCACTATCCACAACCTGTGGACTCGTCCGTGAGTTATCAGCTATGTTCCCCGAAGGCGGAAACTTGTTTCCGACAACAGTCAAATAGTAGCCTCGGAAAAATTTGATCGGGAAAGCAATTCCAATATTACAACCATGGTTCTAGTTTTTCGGGGAACATCTTCAAAGAAGCATCAGAACAAAATATCAACCGTAGTTACACCTTGTCAAAAAAGTTTTAAAAAATCTGAAATTTGTCGCCTAGTAAAAAGTTTCGTTTGGACAGGAACAATTCGAATTAAGGCAGGCAATGTAATACTAGAAATAAGATGGCTTTGTGTCGGAATAAGCCTTTATGTGTACTTCAAGAACACTTTACTGTCAAAATTTGTATGAAAAACTAATATCAAATGAAATTGGAAAATTTTTTGAAATTTTTCCTTATTATGGACAGAAATATGTTTTTCATTGCAATGTTAAAATAAACCTAATATTATTAAATGAAGTCGACACAACTTAAAACATAACACTGTTCCTCAAATAATAGTAATTAAATGTTATTTTTTTAATAATTTATATGTTACCATTTTAATAATAAGTTTGATGCCGTTAATTTCTTTTTATTATCTCATTGTCCGGTGTAAACAAATGTTAATAAAATCAATTCAGTTTAAGCTGAACTAATCGAGTTCGTGTTGACAGTCATTTGCAGTTGTTGTGGACCGTCGCAGTTTGAAAACGTCAGTACCTCTGCACGGCTGGCATCGCAATTAATTTGCAACAAATTTGAAAGCTGTTAATTTGTTGAGCTGCTGTAATTAACTCTAAATAATATATATTTGATTTCAATACTTAACACGTTAAATAAGTGAGAGAATAATGTTCTACTCTTAGGTTGTCAATACAAAGATTATATGAAACTATTTTCCTACACGGGGAGAAAATTCTGATAAATCATAAAACAATATTCCCCTAATTAAATAAACATTTTATATGAGTTAACTTGCAACAATTTTGTTTGCTGTGTGTCCGTTCACATGTCCGCAGGATTTATACATTCAAATGTGTCGGTATTTTGTCTTGTCTTTGGTTAGCGTCAACCTCATTTGCTCTGAATGTTTTTTTTTTCTGATGAACACATGTTTGAAATCAATCAATGCCAATTATAGATGATTTCTTGGAATGCCACGATATTTGAGCATTTATTTAACGCTTGAAGTCAATTACGAATTGTTTCTTTTTTAAATAAAATTTAACTAATGATTGATGGTGATTGGGCAACATAAAGCATATTTATGACCTATTTTCAAATAATCACGAGATTTCATTATTTTATATTTATAGGATTTTGTTTTTTTTTAATAATATTTATATATATATATTTTTTTTAAATAATATATTTTCAAACCTGTCTCATCTAAGCACATATTTATTGGCAACAATTTTCCTCGAATTTTTCTTTCAATTTCTGTCCCTCCATTTTAAATAGCTAATTAAAAGTCATTAACAAAGGGATGTAAAGACAATTAGCGCCAAACGTAATATAAGTGGCATGGCTTTCGTTACATGGGGTAGGTAGTCCCAGTCAAAAGAATGACTCCCCCCTTCCCCCATCGTTGTGTGCTAAAGTGTCACTAAATGTTTACATTTCACCAACAGCGGTGAGCGTCTGTTGTGTCATTTGCAATGAAGCACCAAAGCCATCAAAAATACAAGACGTGAAATAATGCTAATTAATTCATATGCTGCAGCTAAGCTACAGCAGCCGAGACCCTCATGCTATGGACCAACCACAAATCAAGGGA